CCCCTTCTCCCGACGGCCCCCCGAGCGCTCCTGCTGCCCTTCCTCCCGACGGCCCCAGTTCTCGCTGTATGGCAAAGCAACTTTTTCGCCCCATTTGAGATCTGGACCAGCCGCGCCCACCTCACACCCCGCCGCACCTGGAAGGGGGTCCACAGTCCTATTCTCGGGCGCCGAGGAGGTCACCGCGGTGGGGCCCATCGCGGAGGGCCCGGGGTCCCCCTGGGGAGTCGGAGACCACGCTGCGGGGGGCCGAAGGGTGCCCCCGTTGGTCAGGGGGTCCAGGCCTGAAGAGGAGGTGGGCGCTGCCCCTGAGAGGAAGGATGAGGACTGAGGCCGGGCGCCTCCGGGAAGCATCAGGAAGAGCACCGGCAGCAGCGCCAGCTGCGAGGCGCACATCGGGCCGCCGAGCAGCAGGCCGGCCCTACCTCTAACTCTCGCGGGCCCGCCCAGGCGTTGCTAGAGCGTGGGCGGGAGGAGCCTCATGACGTTGGATGTCATCCAACTCTTTATTGGCTCACGGCGATCGCGGGAGATAGCTTCAACCAATAAGAAGCAGGGTTGTTAGCGCTCGCTCAACGCCTGAGGCCCGGCCCACTTCCTTGGGCTCCTGAGGCACTGCCTCCGTCGCCTGGCAACCGCCGCGCGCCGAGAAGCCCTTGCTGCATCTCCCCGCTAGATGGCAGCAGGCGTTCGGCGGGCCGAGCCCGGCGCTGAGGCTCGCGCAGACCGCGGGGACCGCAGCGAGGCTTGGCTCCGCCGGGGGACCCCGAGGCCCGAGGTAGAGCCGCTTGTCTTTTCCATCCTGGATTTCGGTGGTGAGAAACTCGTTTTGTTGGAAGTATACGGATGTAAGGGAGAAAAATACACACATTAAAAGATCTATGAGGTCACGTACCTTAAAAAACGCTTCCCCTCGCTGTAATATTTTGGGGAAATACGTTAAGAGTAATGCCTCTTAAATCTCAGCATTGCGCAATTTCTGTTTAAAGCTTCAGTAAATGCATCTTATCATGAAAGGTGGACTGAATCTTGCTCTGGAATACGGAGGTTTGGGACTAAGGAAATAGAGTAGGGAAAAGTGTGAGGAAAGAAAGTCTAAAACGAAGAAATATTCTCTAGGTGAGAAGAAAAAAGAAAGCAAGTATTGAAACAGCAAGTGGTGGAGAAAAAACTAATATTTTGCCATTATAAAGGTTATGTGTAAAACTCTTCACATTACCTTTGTTTTCCTTGGAAGTAGAAAGCCTCTACCGAGTATCTAAAACAAACACCCAGCCGCGTTTCCTGCATTCTTGGGACCACCGAGCTGTACCTGCACCGTGCATTTGTGGCGACTGCACGTTGGAAAGGCGCCAGGTGACGAAGGGGCTGAGTTTATTTTACATTCTTTTTTTTTTTTTTTTTTTTTTTTGCGGAACCGGGGATTGAACTCCGGTCCTTGTGCTTGCCAGGCAAGCGCTTATTCTGCTGAGCCATCTCCCGGGCCCACTATTTTACATTCTGACTCGCAGCTAAACAGCCATAGTTGGCTGGCAGCTGGTGCATCGGGCAGTATCATTGTCTTGTACTAGGCTCTAGATCAAAATCTCAGTTCTTTAAATTCATCATTTTCCTGTCTCCACAGTTCTGGATTATTTCAGTTTTTGGTTTGTGGGTATGAATTTAAGAGGCTAAGAGTTATCTAAAATGTAGCCCATTACTTAAAACCTACCCACATTGAATGAGTCACTTAGGGTAAGTTTTAGGTCAACTGAACTTCTTCACATTCTCAGACAAAATCTTAATTTTCTAATATTTGGAGGTAGTGCCTAATGATATCTGTATTATAAGTATTCTCAAATGTATGTGATGGGGTGATGAACTGCTATGAGCAACACACATATTTATGCTTTGTCTTAAATGGTTGCCTTGGGCCAGGGGAGATGGCTCAGTAGAATAAGCACTTGCCTGACAAGCGCAGAGTCCTGAGTTCAATCCCCAGTACTGAAAAAAAAAAAAAAGTTTATCTATCCTGTTAATAATTTTCATCAGAAAAGCCAAATTCAGGTAATTCAGCTAACATGTTATTTATCAGAATGTAAGAACTATAACATGCAGTGTCTGTTTAGTTCGTTGGTGTTTCCCTTTTGCATAAGACAGTGACTAGGATGTGTTAGATGTGTATTAAGTATTTAGGAGATATAGTAAAGACTTGCTGAATTCTTTAGGTCTGTTAGGAATATGTTTTACTTCAGGATTAAATGTCTTTCTGTAACATTTCTGTTATACATCTGGTCAGAGACCGTTTTAGATTTCAAAGTTTAGAATTCAGATGGCCAACTCTCAAATCGGTGTTAAGTTACTCCTGAGTTAATTAGTGTTGGCAAGAGTCCTTTGGTTGAAGTAATTTCAGGAATGAGTGATAAGAAAATGATTCCAAATCATCTGAATTGTTTTTTCTTATTTTCAGTTTTAGCACTTGAAACATTTTTAGAAACGTTAATTTCTTTTTCTGTCTTTTGTTATAGTTGATAAAAAGATTATTCATGTTACTGCTGCTGTATGACTCTCTATAAGACAGAATCTCAATTTCTTAATATTAAAGTATGGTGAAAAAATTTTGAGAAAAGAGAATAAAATGTATTCACATGTGTCATGCAGATGCCAGTTTTAACATGGGGACCCAATTAAATTGTTTAATATGACATCACCCCAAAAGCAGAGATTTCCAAATTAGATCATATGATACCAGCAGCTGTCTGTGTTTAGACTATAAAATGTTCAATTTCCAAATGTGACTGGAAATTTAGCCATGAGATTGGATCAAGATGGCAAACGGAGAACAAGTTCTAGATTCTCTCAACCTCTTGCTCTTGTGTAAATCTCTTAAAATTACAGAGCAGTTAGATGGATACACAGACTCATGCATATTCATTTATGCACTTTGGTGTAGACAAACCATTGCTTCCAAAGGCTCATATGTTTACAGTTGGGTCCTCAGCCTGTGGCACTGCTGCGGGATGATGGAACCTTTAAGAGGCGGGACCCTGCCCTCCTAGGGGATGTTGGGCTGCTGCACTTCCTGTCTTTTGCTTTGCTTCCTGGCTACCACGTGGTGAGTTCTTTCCTCCAGTATGTGCTGCTAAAAGAATATATTGCATTGGCTCACCACAGGCCTAACACAGTGAGGTCAATCAACGAGGGACTCACACCTCCAAAAATTTGAGCCAAAATAAGCCTTTCTTCCTCAAAAGTTTATTATTTCAGCTATTTTTGTCACAGTGACAGAAATACAGAGCATTAACCAAATGCCTTACTAAACACATTAAGAGCAGCTCGATATCATTATTAGTTAGGGAAATTCATATGCAGGGAACGATAAAATATGGTTCCAGAACTTTTACAGCAGTGAAAATTTTAGCACCTAGTTTTAGCGCGGTTATGGAGTTCCTGGGATTCTCACTTGCTACTGATGGTAGTGAGGTGGATGGTTAGGGATAGGGTAAAACTGGTTAAACAACTGGGTGCAGTCTTTCAAAGTCATGGAGATGGAGGGCACAAATGTCGAACCCAGGATCCAAGATGACTCTGCAGTTCTCAAGCACTGTAGACGGAGCCAATCAGAAAAGTGCTATTTTTTAGCTGGCCTCATGGTTCATGCCTGTAATCGCAGCACACTGGAGGCTGAGGCAGGTGGATCACTATGAGTTTGAGACCAGTCTGGGCTACAAAGTGAGCTTGAGGCCAGCCTGAACTGCATAGCAAGATCCTGTCTCAAAAAGAAAAAAAAAAGAAAGAAAAGAAAGTTACTATTTTCAATTCTTACATGTTTAGTGTGAAGCCAAGCAAGTTTTTCACTAGAATAGTAGAAGCCAAATGATTTTTGGATACCACTGTCCCAGTGCCTTATTTGGAGGAGGGAGAAGTCAATCCAGGAATTTCAGATATAAGATACCCCTTTCCATTACCTTTTTCATCACTGTGAATCTGTTCACCAGCCTGCTCTCACTCTGCACAATGTACTTTTTTCCTACCTTCAATAAATGTACATCTTGCTACCTTTTATGTGTGTCTTTTCTACTTCTTTGCTCAAGACACGAAAGACCTGGAAACAATTCCAGCAGAACAAACCATTAGGTAACAAGGGTAAAAACTGTTGGAACCCTGTGCAGGCCCCGCCCCCGGGGCACATTTTGAAAAATGAGACTGGGAGTGGTGGCATGTGCCTGTAATCCCAGCTCTTGGGAGGCTGTAAACAGGCAGATTACTATGAGTCACATCTAGTAGTGAGACCCTGAACACCCTGTAGACTCTTCCCTAAAATCCAAAACAAGAGCAACAACAACAACAACAACAACAACAACAACAAACTGTTGGAACCATCTATGTACGGTTAGGCTGTATGTAATGAAACTGACATGCATAGCTTATGATTTAGTGACGTGTATTCTTATAGGTACATATGTAATAGAAATATGTATATATATTTGCCAAAAGACCTGTATGAGAACATTTTTAGCACAGTATTATTTACAATAGCTCCAAACTAGAGTCAACCCAATAGCTCATTAAGAGCAAAGTGATGTAAATTACAGTATGCTTATATAAAAGAACAATATTAAAATGAAAATGAAGTGCTGCCCAGCAAAAACTTGGACTAATCTAGCAAATATAATGATGTAAAGAAGAAAGATACAAAAAAACCCATATTGTATTACTTTATTTTTTCTTTGTATTTTATGAAAAAATTAAATATTCATAATCAAATAGAGAATCACAAGTTATTATGTTCTGCATCATTATCTTCAAAGTAGATACTCAGTATAAGACACAAGCCAAAAGGATTTTTATAAAAAAGAAATAGATAATAACACACACTTGGCAAGGCATGGAGGTGCACGCCTTTAATATTAGCACTCAGAAGGCTGAGGCAGGAGGATTGCCGTAAGTTCAAGACCAGCCTGCACTGCACAGTGAGTTTAAAGCTTGCCTAAACTACATGGTAAGACCCTGTCTCACAAAATGAATTCCTTCCAAAAAATCCCACTAACTTCCTTTTTTGAATGAACTGAGAAAAACTATAAATGAAGCAACATATATATTGATATGTTTTTAAAACAACTGAATATGTAATGAGGAAGCATTTGAACATCTCTCTCCATTTGTTTCTCTTTCTGTGTGTGTGTGTGTGTGTGTGTGTGTGTGTGTGTGTGTGATTTCTCATATAAGAACAGTGTGATATTTGGGCTTGTGTATTCGGCTTATTTCACTTAATTTACAGCCATTTACCTATAAAAGTTGATATTTCTTAATG